ACTTTCGGGCTTTAAAACATTAACTAGTGGTTAATTGGGGATCTGTAAATAGTAAATTGTAATAGAAAAATATATTGTGCATTGATTCCATGCAAAAATCCGACGATATTACCGCCCGGTAAAAAATTTTAACACAGATAACCGGCGTACCCATAATTTTCGTACCTGAATGTTGCATACCTTGTCTATAATAATATAACAGTGAAAATTTTTTTTTTTTTTTTTTTTTTTTTTTTAATATATTGATATTTTATTGTATAAATAACAAGGTCAAACACATTTTAGGTCATATCAATGCAACTAGCACCTGTGATTCGTTTCACATATCATGAAAAACTATAACTGATATTTACGTATCATATAAAATTATCGTTGTTTTGCTCATGTCTACTATGTCAAATTGCTTTACGATACAGTTTCTAGTCAATGGCATACCTTATTTCGTCACGTTTTCCCCGTGAGCTAATTCTCCCAACATTATTTATTACTCTTCATGCTTTACCCGTGACTCAATTCTCCTAACCTACTTATACGACACAAACACGGGCTCGATCGTCTGCACTATTAATACCAATGACATATTTTACTATTGTTGTTATTTTTTCATCTCTGTTAAATTAATTTTGCTCATTGTAAAAAAAGAAAACGAATAATATTAACAGTTGATAAAAGATATTTATATTTGTGTAAGGAAAAAGGTGTCAATAACTTTTTTCACTGGTATCCCGTCATTCTGTTAGTAATATCCAGTACATGTATTTATTTTATAGTAACTGGTACGCTTAATTTCTTATAGTACTAATCATTTTGGTTTAACCCACATGTGTTAAAATAGTATAGTACTTTTGTAATGTCTGTTGTCATGTAATTGTGACCATTGACCAAATAAAAGGATTTTGTTGTTGTTTGTTGTTGTTGTTGTAAAGTAGGTATCCGTTACGAACGGGCATGGTAAATTATTGATAGTTAAATGGGAGTGTCCGATCCCTGTAATAATAGTAACTGCTATGTTGAAAATGTAATTATCACACATATTAGAAGGCAGACAAATAGAACTGTAAGATCCATTCGATTAATATCAGAGTTACTTTTCTTTGGAAATGTAATATCTTTAAAAAATCTTATTCACAAAATGGTTTCAGAGATCTCCTTTCGTAGACATTTTAGTAAAGGAATAAATCGTCCTTAAACTGCATGTTATTATGGAAAAAAACGGTCGAAAACAATATGTATAAATATTCTGGGAGTTCATTTTGTCCATTTCGAAAGATGTGAAACAAAGAACAAAGCTATGAAAGTTTTATAAAGCAAAGAGACATGGAAATAAGTATATGTAGGAAATGAGATTGTAAATTACTTGTTTTTCTTCTTTTTTTAAATGCTTTAAAGGGCAAAATTGCCTTTTTCTCTGGTAGAATTTATATCACATGTGTGTAACATTATAAAAAATGTACGTTGTGTTAGCAAAATAAATGTAAGATTATTGGTATCAATTTATTCAGGAAAATATACATCAACACATTCTTTATTGTGACATATATCAACTTGCATATAAAACACACAAAAAATGCAACAAAAATTTATATTATATATATTAAGTGGTATGGTTAATGTTACACTAGGATTGCCCATTAAGCTGAAAGCATATTTCCAGTGTGGCCCAATTACTGTAATATTAATATCATATCAACACACAAAATTACATAAATATAAATCATATATGAATAATATTATGAAATGACAAAAATGATATATTTTTGCAAACATTGACTACAATCAAGTCACATTTATCGATATAATTAGACAAATACATTGTACACAATCAAACTAAAAGAATTCCGTGTCAACTAATACATTGTCAAATACAACATCAAGTTACAAAACAACAGTTTTATACTAAACATATTTTTCACTTTTTGTCATTTTCATTGTTAAAGTTTAACTTTCGTTTTAAATGTATGAATATTTTCGTTTGACTTAATGCTGTCTGGTAAAGAATTCCAGATTTTTGTGGCATTGTAGAAAAACGTGTGTGCAACATGAGAATCATTTTGTGGTGAAACGAAATTAAAATTACTAGATCTCAGATTTGTTTCTCTACTTATCTTTAAATAAGAAGAGTTTTTTTGTTAAAGTGTGGTAAAGGCTTAACTGCCTAACATTTAATATTTCAATTTATTTTAACCCGTACTTATAATTCGTGTTGGTGTTTTTATATAATTTGCTGATGATTGTTTAAATTCTAATGATGGAATATTCTTTGATCGAAACATTTTTTCTTTCTCAAGAAAGCATATTATTCAGTATATATATTTTATTTTCAAATGTTTTGATAAATTTGTTTCTAGATACTAGTAAGTATTCAAATCGGTTTGTTTAGGTGGCCTAATGTTCCAACAATCATATAGGTTTATTCCGTAGCAAAAGTATCTCAACAAATAAACAGTCATTTGTGTTGTATGACAAATCGTGTCTTTCATAAAAAGAAATATCATTTCTAATGCACATACATACTATTACTATTGCGGTCATTTTAGTACAGTATATTTTCGAAAGTTAATTTCGCCATCAAACACACTAGAGTCCAGCCAAGTTTCTGATATGGAAAATTGAGGTTGCAATGCAGTTATCAGCTATTGTTTTCGGTTCAGACATTTTCGGAATTATGGATCTAACGTTTAAATTAATGAAATAGAGACCTTTGTTATTGAAGCACTTGAATTAACAAGCCTGGTTTTTATGGCGATGTGATTTACAAACTTCGTAAGATTTTGGGTCATGGTAATTTTTCTGCTATTTTTACTAAAATTATTAAACGTTTTATTAAAAGAGGTTATGACCCTACTATTTTAAGACACTTTGCATGCTTAGTGTTCAACCCTTTTACAGTTGAACACTTCGATTTCCTCTTTTGATTACATCTGACGGACCAAGTGGGAGACTCTATGATGGACACTTCTTAAAGCCCTTTTGGACTGAATTGTCTTAATGTTCGTCTTCTGCCTTGCTTCGTCGGTCCCTTGTAGGTAATTGTCTTGTTGCTCTGTCTTCCTTTAGGACATTGAATACTTTTGTTATGGTCATTGGGTTTACTTTTGTATGTTTCTGCATTATCATTTTGGTGTTTTACTTATGTAACCTTTTATAACCGTAACAACTGTTAGAATTTCACTTGGCGGGGATTCATTTTATTTACACTGTCTCGTTTATAGGAACATGGTGGGGCTAAGAGCGAGGTTTGGTGCACTCCCAAGCAGTAATTGTGCTGCTGACCGTTCCAAGGCGGCGCCCCTCTGTGTTCCTCAGATGTATGTCTATGTTGTTTCATACTGTTTTGGTGACACTTTTGCTTGTGTCCCTTGTTGTTTTCTCGTCTACGGTAAGTATCTTCCCCTTTGCCCCTAATTTTTATTTCTTTATTTTTACCCCCTCCCCGGGTCTCCCTGTCCTCTTCCCCTGTGCCCTTTGGCTTTGTGGGCCTATTATTCAATCATTTATTTGTTTTCTTTGAATTCCTTATCAGTTACAAATTATTTCCTATTGTTCAATCATTTGATCATTTGTTTGTTTTCTTTGAATTCCTTATCAGTTACAAATTATTTATCATTTTAGTGATTAACATGTCCGTGCTCTGTCTTGTGTCCTATCCTGTTTTTGTTTGGGGTCCGCCTTGGCTCCTTGCCAATGGTTCTTTTTGCTGGGTCGTATGGGTTGCGTTCATTCCTTGTTGATCTTGTTTATCATATTTTTTAAAACGTTGTCCTGAGACGTCTGTTGTGGTTCGTTAATAACTGTCGGTTCTGGGATTTCATTTTGAATAATTTCGTCTTCGAAGAAAGAGACTGAAAAGCATAAACACAACGTTAGTACCAATAACTTTAGGAACCCTGCAATGTTATGTATAATGTCGGGTCCACTCTAGCACTCTTAATGTGCCATCTGGACATACATATGTCACACTAAACTAAGCGACATCACTTGGCAGCGCAAGGAGAATTTTCATTGTCTGGTAATTTGACCGGGTTAGAAGTGTGCCTTGAATATATATAAAATGATATAGAATTTACTGAAAATAAAATATTCTTTCTGTAGCAAAATGTAATTTAGCAAATAAAACGTTCTCTGCCATTTCTTCGGCTGTATTCTTTTTGCTCGAAGTAAATTGTTGATAATGTGATTATGAATTTACCATATGAATAAGAATACACCGCTTCTACAACAAAATCTGTAAAACTTTGATCCGCTGTGTTTTTCTATTGAACGGAAACATTTTGAACGCACATATAAAAAAGATCATCATAAAATTCTTCATGGTATTCATATTATTCCGTAAAGATTCATTTGATATAGATGATATTTACATCTTCAGACTTGTGTTCTCCTACGCTCTCGATAAATATATATTTACGTCGAAATTTTAAGGTTTTTTTGTAATTAAGATCCGTGAACCGATTAAGCTATGAGGGCTGGTTACTTAGGTATGCTTATATCATGGACATAATTGTCAATTTAAAGTCCGTGCTTACATCATCGATGACAAAAAAAAATCTAATTGACTGCCGTACAGTGACTTACTTTCGGCCCAAAATTCATAGCTTTGGCTAATACATCGCGGCACTCGCAGGTAGGTAAATTATCATTACATTGTGATTCAAAATTAACCCTTTAAGGGAATGACTGGTGACATGTCCGGCCGGGTTCATACTCGAAAGTGGAAGCTGCTTTCTGTGCCTTAACGAACGGATGAACCCTCATTTTAGTTCCTGTAGACTACAGAAAGGCATACAGAGTCTGACAATAATAAAAGTTAACGATACCTGAAATTTATCCCGAGACCACATTATAATTTAGTGACAAATTGTTCTATGGAGAATAAAAATCAAGTTGCTTGTAGCACTGTGGAGCCTTTCTCAAAGCGAATGTAAATGGTGGTATTCTACCAAGAAGAAAATCGTTATAATTAGTAGTCTGAAGCCTATTGGTTGTTTCCCTTAATAGTTCTTCAATTTGGAGGTACGTCATCAGAAAGACGGACGTGTATTGAAAAACAACAACATTCATGGAAAAGACAGTTTACTTAAATTACTTGTACTAAAGTGTTAGTGTAATAATGGAGTGAAAGAAAATTGAATAAATTTTATTACTCTTTTTTGAATTTATTTATCTTAATATCACAAAAATGGCCGTATTTTTTCAAATTAGATCTAGTTCCTGGTTCAAAATTTATATATTTTTGTGCTTATATACCTGTATAAAAAGTGAACATTATTTGAACAAATTTGCTGTTCACATAGAAGGCGGGGAGCGAGTAGCAAGAGATGTTGCACAGCTACATGGATTTAGACATTTAGGACAGGTAATAAACTATTTGTTTATTAAATAATGTAGTGATAGTTTGTTTATATATCAAAATCAGAGTATGATATAGAGTCACAGTACCTGTGCTCGACCAGCCCAGTGCTCGACCAATACTTCTATTTGTGTATGATTAATGCATAAAAGTGGAAAAACCCTGGGAATTTGTTTGTGCTTTTTGTACCTGACCTGTAACCTCTACACCATGTACAAGTACTCCAACTTTGGTAGAAGATTGGCCATTTTGCAAACAATATTTAACAGTACAAAAATACATTTCTATATTTAAAGTAGCAGTAAAACTATTTAAAACACTGAAATAATGGTAATTTAGGGCAAATGTGGACAATACTTTGTAAAATTGCCTTTACTCTAATGATTCCAATTGATTTCCATAGGAAAGGTGCTTAAAAATTATCAAAACCCTGCTGTCCATAAAAGGCAGGGGCTATGAACATGTAAACAAATATGGCGGCTGTACAGAATCAAATCGGGAACACACCACTAAAAGCGTAGACCATTTGTATATTACACCAAGTATCACACTTAAATATGTTTGCAGAGTGATTTTAGTAAAAAAATATGAGAATAAGTAATTCAAAACGCCCCAGTATATGTAAATTCCAAAACTCTTATAAACACTTTATTTGTCAATGTATAGCACTTTCTTCGTATCATATTTACTCTCATATTTACATCTATAGACACTAAAACATAATTTTTTAAAAATATTTTTGTAATAGAATTGTTGAACATAAAAAATTATATCTGTTTTTATAAAATAAAAGTTCTGATAGAGATAAAACCACCTGGTCGAGCACTGGTTGGGTTGCCTGAAAAATATAGTGGTTTTATACCCTAGATACAACTCCGTGGTAAATTGTATCCTGATCTGTGTAATTAAAAAGCTTTAGCTTATTGTGAGTTTATAAGGGCCAGCTTTGTTACAAAAATAAGTTTCCCAGCAAACTTTTTGTTCTGAAAGAGTTTTTACGTGATTTTGTAAAAAACTGGTTGAGCACTGGTACGGTGACTCTAATATGAAATTAGGCAAAGCCTATGAACAGGGAAGTCAGTTTTAAAAGAATTTGTTAATTTTTCTGTTTTAGAGGTGTCATTCTGTATTTCCTGCACTGCCTCCATTTTCACTCAATGATTATTATTGATCCATAAATTTGCGATTGTTCGTTATCTGAATACCCTGTCTATTATCTTTGAGTTACATTTAAAAATGGTGGCGCCCAACTGGTATCTATAGATGGAAACCGAAAATAAGCTATTTCCGTGAAAATAAGGTTGCGGCTACAAAAATAAGATTTATTTTTGAAATAGTGCATTTATCTGTTTAAATAATTAGGCAGAGCAACAGATAAGGTGCGTATTTACGCAATTAATTTTATAAAATACGCAATTGATTTTTTAACAATGTGTGTATCAAAACCCATTTAAAAAAATAAAATACGCAATTGTCTTAAAAACCAGTGCGTATTGTCATTTTCATCACCGCAAAATTAATTTGTCGTACACTCGTAGTTTTGGACAAATTATAACGATATGCATGCTATCCGAATATTCCAGAATCAATGCTAACTAATCAACGGTCTTCGACGGTCCTGGGTCTCCAAAGACCTACTAAGCTATACCAATAAAGCATGAGACTGTCGATTGTCTACTCAGGTCGATGGTCTTTACAGACCGGCAGAGACTGTTGATTTTGCGGAGACCGTCAATAAGTAGGTCCCGTTTGTATCAATAGACGCTTTGAAAGCAATATGGCATGGTACAAAAGGGAAAATGATTTGAAACAAAACAGTCGTAAATAATAAAAAATCAGTCAGAAAACGAACTTGTTTAAAAAATATTATGAAATATAACATGAGCATTTTATATAAAAAATAAAACAATTGTGAAAAGTTCTCATATGAGCGGCGTCACGACAAAACCAACATAATGCGTTTGCAACCAGCATGGATCAAGACCAGCCTGCGCATCCGCGCAGTCTGATCAGGATCCATGCTGTTTGCTATTATTTTCTCTACTTGTAAAAGGGTTGTTAAGCGAACAGCATGGATCCTGATCAGACTGCATGGATGCGCAGGCTGGTCTGGATCCATGCTGGTCTCAAACGCACTATGTTGGTTTTGTCGTGACGCGGCTCATATTATCTTTTTAAAACAGTTTAAATTTTATTGATATTGAAACCATAAATTCATATCTTCATAATTGAATACCAATTGATCTTGAAATCATAGGGTATCGAGTTTTGGAATACCCAATTAAATGGAGCCAATACCCAATTCCAAAGGAAATGATGGAGTAATACCCAATTCACTTTTAAAGCTTTTCTGTTGCTCTGAATTAGGTTAATTATATATTTATGCATTCTTTTAATGATATTGCAGCAAAATAAAATTGCAGAACCCAAAAAATATCTAAGAAAGTGCAGTTTGAGCCGAAAATACATACATACCAAAATAGCTCAAATTGCTGTGAAAAGCGAAAATAAGATTGGGTCTACGAAAATAAGATTTATTTTTGATATAATGTATTCAAAACTTATTTTTGTTGTTATTAAATGATTTGTATGAATAAAATAATAAAGATTGAAATGTTTTGTAATGAAATATTAGACATTTGTGCAGCAAATATGGTAGGATGGCAAAAATAAGACATGTTAGTAAATAATTAATACCTGTATGAAGATAATATATTTTTATGAAAATACTACATGTACGAATATAAGATCTGCAAACAATTAAACATGTATGAATTGATATTCGTACACAAATAACTGAGAATATGATCTATACGAAACAACAAACGTCTGATATTTCATTACAAAACATTTCATTCTTTATTATTTCATTCATACAAATCATTTAGGTATGTTGCTAGGTATTTCATGCACTGCTTACGTTTTTAATTGGAACACCTCTACAATTTGTTTAAGCCAAAAAATTGGGATTGTTCCATTATCAGAACACCTTGCCGAATACATACATGTATGTAACATAGAGTTACATTAAAATAGTAACATCCAGATACACAATGTAGAAATGACACTGAAAAATTGATTGATAGGTATTGAAATACATATATTTTTAACGGGTTTTTAGCTCGACTATTCGAAGAATATGAGAGCTATTGTAGTCGCCCCGGCGTCGGCATCCGCGTCGGCGTCTGCGTTGGTTAAAGTTTTTTGTAAAGTCAAATATCTCAATTATTACTTGAGATGTTCAATTGAAACTTACAATACTTATTTATAGTAACAAGGTACATCAGATTGACAAGTTGGATAACTCTGCCTACAATATTGACAGAATTATGCCCCTTTTTAACTTAGAAATTTTGGTTAAAGTTTTTTGTAAAGTCAAATATCTCAATTATTGCTTGAGATGTTCAATTGAAACTTACAATACTTATTTATTGTAACAATGTACATCAGATTGACAAGTTGGATAACTCTGCCTACAATATTGACAGAATTATGCCCCTTTTTAACTTAGAAATTTTGGTTAAAGTTTTTTGTAAAGTCAAATATCTCAATTATTGCTCGAGATATTAAATTGAAACTTACATTACTTATTTATAGTAACAAGGTACATCAGATTGACAAGTTGGATAACTCTGCCTACAATATTGACAGAATTATGCCCCTTTGGAACTTAGAAATTTTTTGGTTAAGGTTTTTTTGTAAAGTCAAATATCTCAATTATTGCTTGAGATATTCAATTGAAATTTAAAATACTTTTTTATAGTAACAATGTACATCGGTTTGCAAAATTGCATAACTCTGCCTGCAATATTTGCAGAATTATTTGCCCCTTTGAAACTTAGAAATTTTTGTTAAAGGTTAAAGGTCTTCAAAGATATTTACTTGAAACTTTACACATGCACTTAGGGTCATAATTGGAGGGTCATAATTGTATGTCACTGACCAAGTTCCATATCTCCATCTTGCATTAAGGCTGATTCATATCCCCTTTCTACTTAGTCTCTTGGTTAATGTTTACATGCAAGTTTTACATATCTCAATAACTATTAAAGATATTTATTTAAAACTTCTCATATGCAATTAGGGTCATAATTGTAGGTCACTGACAAAGATCCATAATTCTATCTTGCATTTAGGCTGATTTTTCTCCCCTTTTTTCAACTTAGAAATTCATGGTAAAGTTTTGCTTGTAAGCTGTTATCTCAATAACTACTTAAGGGTTTGTGTTTTTTTGGGACAATTTTATGCATTCATGATAACAAAGCAGTGATTTACTTGATAAAACATCTTAATAACAAGCCTTTGTACCTTTTCTGTCAAATTTATGTATTCATAGGTAATTAGTATTATTATACTCAATAAAACACCCTTGTTACATTTCCTTCCGAATAGTCAAGGCAATACTGCATAATTAAACTCTCTCTAAGGCCTATAACATGAATTTATAAAAAAAAATTAGCCCTTTTGTGAACTTAAAAAAATATACATTATCGAGGCTCTTTTACTATCAAGCACTTAGAATAGTCGAGCGTGCTGTCCTACCGACAGCTCTTGTTAGTCCCCTACCGGTTTACCGGAGGGGACTTTAGGTTTACCCTCCGTCCGTCTGTCTGTCAGTCCGTCCTTCCGTCCGTCCGTTAGCAATTTGGTTTCCGGAGCATAACTTAAGTTCTATTTGGCCCACAATGTTCAAACTTCATAGGATGATTGCCCATATTGGTTAGAAGACCCCTATTGATTTTTGGGTCAAAAGGTCAAAGGTCAAGGTCACTATGACCTTAAAACTGAAAACAGTTTCCGGAGCATAACTTAAGTTCCAATTGACCCACAATGTTCATACTTCATAGGATGATTGTCCATATTAGGTAGAAGACCCCTATTGATTTTGGGGTCAAAAGGTCAAAGGTCAAGGTCACTATGACCTTAAAACTGAAAACAGTTTCCGGAGCATAACTTAACTTCCATTCGACCCACAATGTTCAAACTTCATAGGATGATTGTCCATA